TGTTCAAACCATGGTGGCATACATTTGCAAAAAGATAGCCATCCGGTTTTATTAGTATGAAAGCAATAATATAGAAAGTCTGCCTAACCTTCAGACCAGAAACTAGATTTTGGAAAAAGAATATGATCCATGCCTGGGGAAGGAGCACCAAATATTCCATGGAAAAAAATTAGATATGCATGTGATGGAAGATGTGAATGAAGAATGCAATGATAAACAACTATTACACATATAAACAGCTTAGCTTTCCATAAAGAATTTTACTGAGGAGACAAAGAGAATATGCTCCTGGTTTTACTGTGATTTTAAAAAAAAAAATGTTTGTTAATAGGAACCATAGCTGTTTCCCTCTATGATTTCACCACATACTTTTCTTCTGTTTATAATCACAGTTCATTAGTGGACCTGATGAAAATGTGTATTGTTAAGAAACTTCATTGCAATCCTAACTGCAACTTCAACAAGCTAAAAATATTTACTGTTTTTGCTTTCACTAAGTAATCTTATTTTATCTATGCTTGAAATCAAGTCCTTCAAATCTGCAAATATTTTCTAGTGATGCCTCTAGTAAGCCTGCAATGCATTAAATAAGTATGCTACTATTGCATATAGGTTTTCTGATGGTATTCCTCATTTTCCCAATATAAATAAATCAATAATATAAAAATACTCTAACATCCTAATTCCAAAGAAATCCCTTTTTCTCACATCACAGATTAAACACATGACTGAACTGTAGCTGAGCTCTTAGCAAGCTACATGACTTCATCTACAAAGCCTACATTTTTCACTGTGCTATAGTTCTTCACAAGTTTTCCTTCTGAAGCTTCTGAAAATTTGCAGAGCATTTCATAAAATGGCCATATGGTTAGGGATCAAACAAAAGACCTGGGTTCTATTATTTTGCAAGTGGAAGGACCATGACAACATGTGGCATCCCCACACTTTTCAACCAAAAACGCACTGTTAAAATTCAACACTCTCCAACAGTAGTGCATAAGTTTTTCTGTGCTGGGGGTTGCACCTATCTGATTGCTCTCCAGTCAGGTATTTAACAGTTTTCCTTTTGTTCATATTAAAATTTATAATTTCAAAAGAACTTCTGAATACCTTTGGGGCTACGTATCAATCTGGACACCAGGTTGTGCATCTTAGTCTTACAAAGTTATTTGCAGAGATCACTACAAAAATGTTTCTGTTGCATTATCTATGTAACTGCAGGATCTGAGTATTTCTCCAGGAGGACCTCTGATTTATGAGACATCTGCATAGATCTCCTGCCATGAACCATCAAATGAATCTCACTTGAGGATGAGAATGGGAACTCAAATAGCCAGGCCCAAGCACAGAAACTATTTTCAACAACTATTTGAATGGATCACAGAGAAAGATTGTTCTGTACAGAAGAAAAAAAGAATATTAAATTGGATTATTTGACCAGGGATAAAATGAGACACTTTGTTATTTTGGGTGGCTCATTTTGGATTTACTGATATCTTAACTGGAAAATGTGGTATACTGGATTTGCTTACATTTTGTAAGATGCTATAGATTTTTTCCCTTATAGTTGTAACTTTACAAACTGGTTTTGTATTTAAAGTAAAGAAGTTTGGTGAACTTTATAAAGGAGTAATTATTTCTCTTTGTTATGTTAAATTTTAGTCTTTTGTTTGTACTGGGATACTGGGATTATTTTATATTTGTGAAATGTGGATTTGTTACAGTTTAGAGTTAAATATAGAATGTTTGTTTGAATGGGATAAGTTGTTATTTGGGGTGGATTTCTTTTGGGAACTGTTGGTATTTGGAATGGGAAAAGTGTTGTGTATTGGTCTTTTGTAAAGGAGAAATGGTCTCTTTTTGTTATGTTAAACCAATGGGATTTTTGAGGGTTTTCTGTTTGTTTTTGTTTTTTACATTAAGATATTGGGACCATTTTATGATTTTTAAATGGGACTTTGCTACAGTTAAGAGTTGAGATGTGGAATGTTGAGTTTTATTTATGTTAATTAATATTACTATTTTAGAGCTCAATGTGGATGTCTTGCTGATAAATGGATTGGAAAGGGCATTACTTATTCGATTTGCCTATTGGTAAGAGATGGGTTATGGGATGAAGAGTTTTATATTTGTTAACTAAGAGGAAGTGAAGAGATTATGGAATTGTTTATACTTGTCATGATGAGGGTGGGACGTTGTTTTCTTAGAGGGGAGGTTTTTTTTTTTTTTGCTTTTGCTTTTATGCACCTTTTTTTTTCTTTTCTCTTTTAGCTTGTACTATTTTTTACCACTCTTTTTAAACTTTTAATAAAATTACGTGAAAAAAAAGAAACTATTTTCCCCATCATGCTCTATAGTTCTGGAATATATCCCAGATGAAACTACATGCCAGGAAGCCATAAGAACAGCAGAAGTGGCACAGGGATGAAAACCTTAAGCCACAGAGAGAAAGGAGCACCAGATTTCAAATTAGGGGCTATGGAGGTAATACTTTACTTGGGATCAGTAGCTCTTCCCAAATAACTCTTCATATGATTCAGGAAAATCAGCACCAGGTGGGCTTGGGTGGGGATTAGAAGCTTCATATGTAAATATCTTTGCCTGAGGTCAAACACTAGAATAATATCAGTAGTTTTGCTGTGCAATTTTTCACCCATGAACCTTATATCTAAACAACTGGCATTTGCTAGATCATGTCTGGCTACTCAAACTCAATCTGTGCTGAAAAAATTATGATCATCTTAAAGGCCTGGTTTCAAGATTTGGGTGCACTTCTGGGTTCACACATGAACATGAAAGCAAAGAATAGGAGCAAATCTGCACAGTTACAACTATTACACCAACTGTATCCCTCCTTAGAGATGTCAGATATAGTAATAGTGAAACATATTTATATCTCTTTGTGACTAATGTAACATTCCAACAGTTTTACTAACCACTAATTTGTTTCTAGTCACTGTTTCAAAGTGCTGGCAGTGATATTTAAATTTGGAAACACACATTTACTATATTGCACACTCCCCTACAAGCCTACTCAAACTTTAAGATCTTCAAGAGAGATATTTCTCAGTTTTGTCACTATTGGAGCTATAATTATGAAAACATGAGAAAAAAGCTTTCTGGTAGCTACTTTTCAGCAAAGGAGAAATACTAGCTGACAGGAAAACATATTTTATTCAGGCTGGTTTGTTTCATAATATAACTTTTAATTGGGAATAGCTGATTTTCATTTTGTTATATTCTTGTATTTTATTTATGTATGTGCCTTACCTGATTCGCTTACTTGTATAATTTTTCCCTCTTTTTTATGATATATCTTAAGAAGCAGAAACTTAATAAAAAAGATGAATGGGAGCTCTTGTCAAGAGAAGAATCTCACATTCAGTTGTAAGGAATTTTGTGGATCTATCTCTGAAGAATGTTTCACTGCCAAAGTAGATGGACTGCCAGCCTAATGTAGAAATTTTGCCATTTTTATTATATACATGACAAAGGTATAATATGAACCCAATGCATTCTGCAAGACATGCATATTTACACTAGAGATTTACACTACATTATGTGACCATATTATGTCAAGAATGCTGTAGAGAAGAGGAACATATGCTTTCTGAGCTTTGGCATAATATTTAGATAATTATTTCAATGACAACAGAATAACTTGATGTTCAAGCACTACCAGCAACATGCCCACCATTTAACAGTTCTGATAACATCCTGTACTTAACATACCACAAAAGTCATAAAACAGATTAAAAATTGTTATTTTCTACAAAAACAGCTCAATAACCAATATGTCACTGACTTGAGCATTTCCCATTCTTTCTCTACATTATTCTACTTTGTTCCAATGTCCTATCATCAAATTAGCAGAATAAGTTATATTTTTGTGGAGCATCCAAACAGCAATAATATTTAATACACACATAATGTCTATTTCCTAAGAATATCAAAACTAGAACACCACGTTTGTCACTAAGTAGTAGGTCTTTTATGTCAGACAACCGAGATCATCTCAAACTTTTAGAGAATAAAGAATTATATAGATTAGAATGAGGCTTTCAGTCCTTGCTCAAATCAGAAATATTGTTATACATCAGATCAAAACTGTAAGTAGTGGAAAGCAGAATGATTATCACAATTTGCAGCACAACATCTGCATATTTATTCTTTATTCAGAGTAATATCATTGGTCTAGCTATCCATGGTCCTATTTACAGTAACCACCAATGGCCCAGGACACTTTCCCAAGACTACCTGAAGATGCTGAGGACTGAAACTGGGATCTTTTCAAAATAAGGCATACACTCTACCATTCTTTTCCCTCAGTAGCAAGAAATTAAATAGAAATATATATGGATTTTTTTCTAAAGCTTTTTATCATGTAATAAAATTTCTTACACACTGCAAAATCCTCAACTTACTATTATTCCACCTCCTCAGAGCCACGGATATAGACTAAACAGATAAATGCAGCCATCTAGGACCCAGATTGGATAGGCGAGAGGACCCACAGATCTGTAACTCTTACTTTTCTTCAAACCCAAGCGTATGGTTTTTATGTTTTCATGAGTCCAAACTATCTCTTCCATCAAAATAAGAGAACCATGGCACAGAAAGACATAATTGTCAAATTAAAGCTCTTAGAGTGGACCAAATACAGAATAAGTGTAAAAGTTGGATTTGTATGTGAGAAACCCAGATTTCCCACTTAGATACAAAGCTTTACAAATATTGTAGTCATGAGCTATCTCGATCAAGTTGCTATTTTACCTATCTCCAAGGATCACTGCAAGAAGCAGAAACATATGCCATTCTTCCTCCCCTTAAGCTACTGCCATAAGGTATTGTTGTTACATAGCAAAATCCCATTCTACAGATTATCTCACACATCCATCTTGCCATTAAACCACACTCTGAGCATAATGTAAGGCTCCCCAGGACAAAATATATAGTAATAAGCAGGCTCAGCAAAATATTCCATGCTGAGTTTCACTTACTTTATGTAGTATCTTGCACCTTCAAAAGTATATGCTTCCTCCCAACCTGTGGGCAGATCTAGAGTAGAAAAAAATAGTTTCATCATATGTTTGTGAACCATTTTATTATACTAAGCATTTGCAATCGCTTTAGCTCATTTTACTCTACAATATATTAAAAGAAAAAGTACTATCAGTTTTATACCTCACACAGGGCCCAAATTCTTACTCATCATGAACTCAAGAGCAAGTAAGATTTAAATCATGAAAAATACATATAGCACAATAAGCTCACTAATTCTCAAATCCTCAAGACTTTAGATATTATCACAAATATTTCTGAGTATTATACTTCATCTCATCAACTATAAATAGATACTGGAAAACTTCTCCCAGCATCATTAAGTTAATTGGCTTCATATTACTTTAGGCCTTATTTATTTCATGTAACTGTTGTGCCAATCATAAGATATCTGAGCAGAAGACAGATTTTTGGGGGAGAAAAAACTTCATTATTTAAGTTACTAACATTCAAAATGGTAGCTGGTTAAGTATTATAAAACATTTTTTTGGATGGCCAAGTTATATCATCTTGTCATATCTTCAAGTTGTGCTTGCAAGCATCCACAAACCAGCCAATAGTACAGAGATTTAATTTTCACTATTAATCTAGTGACAAGGGAAGAGAGATGTGCTGCTTCTCTATAGTATCAATTAAGCATCAATGTTTTGAATCTCCTTTTAAAAATAAAAATCAAAGCCTATTATCATCTTCTTTAGAAAAAAGCAAAGCACTGTGGCGAAAAATGGATCACTAAAGCTGTGTTTAATTACAAGGCTCACTGCTTAAAATAATCATTTCACCTACTGCACTGTGCATAAATACAGCTGGCTGTGCTTTTTATAATAATACCTTCTATGTGTTTCAGCACAGGTAACTGAAATACTTTGGGTGTTAGAATATTTTGGTAAGATATTTAAAGCTATTTCAGGAGCTTGATGTAGCAAACTTCTGTATGGTAAACATTCTATAAACAAAGAGCAATTAAATTTAGAGATGCCTTGCTCAAGATAAACATATTAAGTTCCCACAATCACAATTAAGAAGATTACACAAGCCAGTGTAAAATAGCTTTCCACATGTTATTTTGGTGTAAGGGTAAAACAGCAGATCTGGTTGGTACAATTTCTTATCCAAATATTATCATAAGACTATTTAGAATTTGATATGAAAGTGTTTAGAAGAAATTCCACTTGTCCAAAAACAAGCTTTCTTCATTATCTAAAACACTTTACAAGCAACCAAAATGGATTTTTCCTTAGAGATATTAACATATTTTGGCTCCAGCAGGGGTATAAAGCAAATCAAAGCACTAATATGTACGGTAGAATGAAACAGAATACATCTGAAATGTGAGTAGAAAAAAACATCTCCTCTCGGCAGAGGCAAAGACATTAATTTAAGACCAGTGTGGAATTACAGGTGAAAAACAATTGCATTCAACAGCCAAATCACTCAAGCACATCTGCCCCTTCCCCTTACCTGCTGGACTTCTCAATTAACACAACCACTAATTATACAAGGAGCAGGGAACTCTTCTCAATTAACCAGCAGTTCTGGTTTCTGACTCTGAAACACATCTGGCTATAAACTACTGTATCCCATGACATTTCCCATAACTATGACTAGGAAGAGAGATAAACAAAAGAACTTCACTTTGCCTTGAAACTGCTCCCAGGTCACACAGAATAAAACCAAGAGTAATGAAATGCATAAATTAAAAAAAAAATGCAAAAATGCCAGACCAGTCCTCCTAACCCAAGTGTCCCTGGACTGCCTCTCTTTTTCCCATTTCATACATCCATTTGCCTAAATGGAAGAGAAGGGGGGGAAAGCAATTGCATTGTTGAACAGCAACACCCACCTCCCCATGGCACAGGTGATTGATGTGCTATACCAGCAACCAGTTATTCTTTTTCCAGCCAGACCTTCTCTGCTGCTTTTCGTCTCCAGAGAAACAAATAGCAGAGAGAGAGTCTACCCCCCCCTTTCCCCCTAGTCACTCTTCAAGCTCCTGCCCTCTTTCTCCAATTCATCCCACCTTTCCCCGTCACTCAGAAACCACCCACTCTCTTATCTAAACTGAGGGTGTATCTTTAACAGTGAATGTATGAATTTTAAAAAGCAGCCACAAGCTCTAGAAAGTATGATGCTGAAAAGATATGGATAAGTGAATTCATGCTTTGCCCAGTGAAAAAGCTTTTGGCTATTTACAGAATTGTATATCAGTTATAATATAAGGGCAGGCAAGAGGGATGGGAAAGGTATTATATGTTCACAAGACTAAAATATGACACACATTCATTTTTAAATTGTAAATCAGAGCCTACAAGGGGAGGAATCTGTCTTCACTGAGGAGGGAGCCAGTACTCAACCTGCAATTTGGTGCTGCTATTTACCGGAAGCTTTCCTTCCATAAGTACCACTAATGCCACTCTGATCCTGAACATTATGTGAAGCTGCCCCCTCCTTTGATGCCCCTGGACAACTTACAAATGTACAATAGAAACAATAATAAAAATCATTAAAAATAATAAATATAAAATAAGCTTATAGCATTACAGCTTGAAAAGGTATAGGAAAATATGTGCTCAGCTCTTCTCAATTAAGGTGACCTGCTTCAACACTAATGGCAACTGGACTGGCTAACTCTTAAGACTCCTAGTGAATAGCTCATTCTACCACTGTTGCTGAAAATACACACCTCTCACAGTTAGAACCATACTGTTATGTATTCTTTATAATGGTTTGGCTATGGATTTCTTTTAAGCGATACAGCAGAGTAGAGTAGCACAAAGAGAATATATTGAGGAAGCCAGGAGAAGCAACTTATTGCTAAAGACAGAATAGCTATGTTGGAGGTCTTCAAGCTATTTGGAAAGCATGCTGAATGGGTGGAGATCAGATCACTGAAGAAGTATTAAGGGGACTGCAGAAGTCTCTGCAGCTTAGCTAAGTGGTAGCTGGATTTCTTAAAAATACCCCTACATTTATACAAAAACGATAAATGAGCAATTCCAAGATAGCAATGCAGGAGTCATTGCTGGAAAGAGTCAACAGGAAAAGATTAGCACTGTACAGGGTTAGGCTTTCCAGTGAACAGATAGAAAGCCTTAACGTTATTTATTGGAACAGATTATGTGTACCAGATTAACTGCCAAACAATAGGAAGAAAAAGCCAATAGATAACAAGCCAGTAGAGAAGGTGCCAATTGAGTGAACATGGATATCAGACTGAACATGTAGGAATAAATACTAATTATGGATGCAAACATGGTGAAGGGTAGACAGAGAATGGAAAATACAGTAAAGGAATCTGCCAACATTAAGAACAAGTAGGAAAAATGTTTAACTGGAATCATAACCTAGCTATCATTAACCTAGTGCAATTTGGTCAACTAAATTACAACAACAGAAACACAGAGGCAGTAAAACAAAAACAATGTATTTGGCTATCACACCTCTTAGGGGCCAGTGAAAGTACAATCAGTTAGTTAGATGAGCTAGAATGATTAAGCATTGTTTGACAATGTAGTTTAAGAGCACTGAGCCTCTTGCAAATCATTACGCCAGGTGTGAATACATTCATCCAGTATACAGAATGTTCATTTTAGCAAGTTCAGCCAAATTAAATCTCATATACACCAGCACCCCTTACTTTTCCAAATGTGTATCTGGAGAAAGAAGAGTAGCAACCATGCAGAGTAAAGGTAAGGTAAGGTAGGTAAAGGAGTATTAATAAAGTGACATAAGGGTCCAGTGAGAAAGTTAAAAAGTTAGTTGGGTTTAAGGATGCAATAACCTGGAAATAACTGATAGAAAAGCAATGCCTATAACATGAGTATTTGTAGATTAGTAACACAGGTTGTGGTTAGAACTGGGATGCTAATATTCATCCAGGGTCAATGTACTGCTGAAAAGGCCTTTCAAGTGTAGGGAGAGAGCTGGCAAACCAGAGGAATTTTTTACTTGATAAACAGGGCTACAGAGGCCCAAACTGTCCATCACAGCATCTGCTGGGAGATCACAATGGATCTACAGGGGTTCTCCAATCAGGCCAGAATACTTGCCTAAACAGAATTTAAAACAATATTCTAAGTCCAGGGCCAGGAGCTTAGGAATAAGCTCGGTTAAAGGATAAACACAGAGAAGGACAAGGGGATGATGTGAAAGGGATGGGGTGTGAGAAAGGAGTGGGCAGGTTTATGATCCCAGAAGTAGAGCTTCAGATAAAAAGACAAGGTTAGAAATGTTTGACATAAAGAAAAAGAGAGAGAGAAGGTATTTCAGTGACTGTTGCATGAAGAGTGAAAAAATTAATAAATCTCCTTGGTTCAAGTATGAGGGAAAGGAACAATTTTCATAGAGTAGAGGGAAAAACATAATGCCATGAAATAAATGATGGTAGTCTTGAACTGAAGAGGAAGAAGAATTCATGCACTGAACCAAAGTGGCAAAGAGTAAATAGGTGGGTTAAAAGGTCAAGGAAAAACAAGGAAACAGTTTTATCTGGAGGGAAAGTTTTGAGCCAGTGGAGGAAGAAAAATGGATGGTTATTCCCAAGCCTGAGTTGCCACGTTTATTCCCTCCCCCATCCCAAAAAAACTGGCCAAGTACAAAACTTTCGGGGTGGGCGTCTATGTTCAATTATGGTGAAACAATAGGCTAAGAGGGAGGTCAATTAGAAGCAGGGATGCAGCAAAGGGTGTGAGGGAGGGAGCCAACCGGAAAATTAGAGAATTGCAGAACTGAAAAGG